GCAGGCGTGATAACCGCTACACCACGGGACCTGGATGTTCCTCGCAATATCTGACTTTTCTGGGCCATTGGAAAAGTAATTTAAGGAATTTTTAAACTCAAAATAACATTTCCATCTATTTTCTTGTCTGATCCCCGCCGGGATTGAACCTTCGTCTCCGATCTTGTAATGTCATGATCGTTGTTTTTATCGTTACGATTACTGTTTTTGTGATTAAGATTATTGCTTTATTACTTTTATCATTATCATCATCACCACGATTGATTACTATTACTATTAATATTTCGTCGATATCGGCTACATTTTTCGTGTTTTTCAATCGGCTTTCTTCATAAAGGCACCGGTTGGCCCGGTTCCGAAAACGAATGTTCCTGGCCCCACAGCTATGCTCTTGTCGTTGATTTGTTGCGTTTTTCCGGACCAGTTCACATCGCTTCTGGTGCCCGAGACTGTTTCAGGCTGAATCATGAGATGCGATCAGTTTTTGCTCAAAGTCGAACTCGAAATCGAGCTTATGTTCGATTTTCCCTTAGCTAACTTGGAATTTTTTGGCGAAATCAGGGTTAGAGGGTGATATTTCGTTGAAAGCCTGGCCACAACGGCGCAGTTTTCTTTGAAATGAGTGAATTTCACAAATTATCGTTTGGAGAAAAAGTGATGACACCTTGAGATAAAATCAGAAATGCTCGATGAAACATTAAACATTGAACAGAACCGAATCAAATCGAAATATTCCGACAAAACCACTCGGCTACTTGCCTTTGCATCGCTTCCATCCACACGTATGGTCGGTCTCCGCATGTCGAGACTCATTGAGCCTGTTCCGACGCCCACAACTCGCTCTTTTAGCCCACTTCTGATCGACGGCAGTCGTAGTGGGATCGTAGAACCGATGCCGTGGCCAACCGCGGGAGTTGCTGGAGCCCCTCGTTTGTGTCTTCTCTGCACTGCCATCGTTTGAAATTCTCTAGTGAAGCGTTCAGACGAGCCTTTCACTGTTACCAATACCGGATCAGCAATTGAAACAGTGATCAGAGACACAAGAACTGCACAAAGAATAACGCGGGAGCAGAGAAGATGCATTTTTCAAACTGAAAATTAAAATTTTTCAGATTGGTACCAAAATTGAAATTGTAGTGAATTCATCAGGTGAGCATAAGTAACGATTACAATTAACGTGATCATGTGATATTAACGATTGTCTTTATGTGAGTAGAATTATCGATTGTAATTAACGGATCGTGTTTAGTGATCATGCGATTAACGATTAACGTTGATCATAATTAACGAAAGGTGATCATGTTTATGAATTTATTGTGGTGATAATGATTATAATAATGACAGTAATAATAATAACAATAATAATGATTATTATTAAAAATATAATGATAATAATTGGTATTAATAACAAATATAATACCCTAATAATAATTCTAATGAAGATTATTAGTATTTGATAGAGAAATGGCAAGGCGACACAATTCTATGGAAGTATTATTGTTTATGATTAACTGTTAACATTGGATCAAAATATTTGCGGTTTCGACCTAATAAACAACACTAATTTTATATTTATATTGATTATTTT